CACACATAGAAAAATATTTAGTATACACATCCAGAAATGCATATACTATTATATATTGTACATATATTTATTAGTTTCAGATGTAGCCATTCTTGTATTTTGCTTGTTTACGTTATTGTATTTTGCACAACTCTGTTGCTTGTGAAGCTCACACACAAGAATTTCACTCACATGTGCTGTACCAATGTACCTGCACATGTGATGTAACAATAGAAGTGATTTGATTTGATTTGTTTTCTTTCAGGTATAAACAAATTTGCTTCCTTAAGCTACCTTCATAATATCCAGTTGTTGATGCACTGGAATCAGCAAAGGAAAAGGCAAAGAGTGAAAGGCGCCACTTTGGAAATGGAAACAGCTCTGACACACCTCATCATTCTTGGGGTCATCTCAGGTCAGCTTTCACAGCTTAACACACCTTTTTCCTGTTTTTACTGTTATTTTCAAGTTATTTAGCATAATCAGTTTATGTATAGTAGAAATTATGCTGACATACCTATTAAGCAAATATGATAAGTTAACAAAAGCAGTTCAAGCACAGCGTAACACTAGGAAAGCTAATGTTTTACTTCCTCATTTTCCTATTGATGTAGACTGGAACTTATTTGTTTGACTAAGATTTATTCTGCAGTGATTGTGAGATATCTGCCAAATACTTCTGGATATTATTTAATCAAACACAAAATGAATATTGAACATTGATAATATGTATTTTATTGTAATGTAATTGTAATTGGCTTGACAGTTATAAGAATCAGGATTATACAGTGACGATATATAAGACAGGAGCAAATAGAAGATGTGTCTTTGCAATTACTGTAATTATAGTTTCTGTAATAATACTTACTTTTTCCTCTTTGTTTTCTCTGTTTTTTATGTTGGTTCTTTGTCCAACTTTCTGTTTATTTCCTATTTTCTTTAACTTGGTTCCTCATGTGACTTTTAGTGTTTTACTCTGCGTTGTCCTATTTACTGCCCTCAGTAGTGAGCAGTTAAAGAAACAGGTATCACTTTTTAAGCCGTGTGAATTAAATATGAAATGTTATGCCCCAACCACAGTTGTAATTTATGTTCTCAGCTATAACAATGTACATGACATTTTTTATATTTAGGGACACGTTTAATTAAATTTAAATGGTGCAATGTGGCAAATTATACTTTACTTTTTATCCCACACACAGAAACTGTGAAGGCCAAAATTTTGGCATATGCCTAATCATGTTAAAGGACTAAAATAACTTCTAGATATAAAGAACTGTTTAAATACTCCTCACACCGTGGTTTTTATATCCCAGCTCTGTGGCCTTTTTTACGTTGAAGGTAAATATGTAGTTAAAGGGTAAAAATGTGTAGTTGGTCTGGCAAAGCTTCTCTCATCTCCATTTTACATTTTAGAAACTGAGACATGCTTCAACATGTTGTACGAAGACTGATATCAGATCGAGGACAGGAAGAAGCACAGTTTAGAGAGAAAGTTTATTTGTCATGTTTTCTTTCTGTTGTTCAGAATTTTCAGTTTCTCCTTTTAGCTCCATGTGTTTTTAATTTTTTGAAGCTTGAAGGGTTTTAGTTTTGTAGGCAATTAAAGTGTATCTTTGTTTGCCTCAGCATATAAAAAAATAGGAAATACATGAAATTTTATTTCAAAAGGAAAAACTAATTTGGTTTCTGTGACCACAAAATTATTCAGTGGTTTATTTTTTTGGCAAGAATTATAGAATTTTACTGAATTTCCCGGGGAAACCCACCCAAAGGATTAATAAAGTTTCCTCTAATCTAATCTAAGAAAATCTTATTCCATTACTTTCACTTAACATCAAAGTCATGCCAGTTTCCAATGCTGCCATGTCCTTGTGAAGGAATAAAAAATTCCTTCACAAAAAACAAAATGCCTCCTCCAGGTTCAAGTGAAGGAGCTGGTGTGTTGTCTGATGGTCCTCTGAATGCAGCTGTAGGAGAAACGGTGATGTTCACTACAACACTGAGTCCAACAGAAACACCGTTTCAGTCTGTGGTCTGGAATTTTGGTTCTAAGAATATAATAACCTCAAGTACTGCAAACGTAACTGGACCTGAGTATGCAGACAGGATCACCTTCTTCCCATCTACTGTATCTTTGGAGCTCAGGAGTCTTACTGTGAACGACATTGGAGAATACATAGTTCACATTTCACCAGCTGGTGAACCAGCAAAGACAGGAAGGTCCAGACTGGAGATATATGGTAAGCAGGTGTTGAAACCCAACAACAAATTTTCAAACATCCATTTAAAAAAAAAAAAAATCAAGGTCTGTTTTATTATATAATGTATTCTCTCACAAATATTTTAAAGAAGTTTGTTTGTGATTTTGAGTTATTTTCACCATGTGGGCGTGTCTGAGATAATCAGATCAGAATCAGAATCGCGTTTATTGGCCATGTATATGCACAGACACATACAAGTTTGGTTCCGGTAGATGGTGACTCTCAAGCACAGCAATGTACATCTCAACAATGTAAGCAACACAATTCACCCACAGACAAACACACACACACACACACACACACACACACACACACACACACACACACACACGTGTGGATATATACAGCTACACATGCATGCACAAACATACACAAGCTGTGTAAACCAACCATAAATAACAATCTAGATCTTATATACATAAAATACAGAAATGAAATTAAGTGAAATGAATACTACAGAATGTACATAAGGTGCAGTTGCAGTCTGGCAGTGGGAGCAGTGTGACAGTTCAGCTGTTTAGGAGGGAGATGGCGAGGGGAAAGAAACTGTTCCTGTGTCGGGTGGTCCTGGTCTGCAGGCTTCTGTACCGTCTGCCAGAGGGCAGCAGATCAAAAAGTCTGTGTCCAGGGTGTGAGGGGTCTGTGATGATTTTCCCTGCCTGTTTCTTGGTTCTTGAGAGGTACAGATCCTGGATAGAGGGCAGGCGGACGCCGATGATCTTCTCTGCTGACTGTACAGTCCGCTGCAGTCTGCTCCTGTCCTGTTTAGTGGCTGCACCATATCAGACTGTGATGGAGGAGCACAGGACAGCCTCAATGACCGCAGTGTAGAACTGGATCAGCAGCTAATGAGTCCAATTGTGGTGGTGTCATCTGCAAACTTAAGGAGTTTAACAGCCGAGTCCTTGGAGATGCAGTCATTAGTGTAGAGGGAGAACAATAATGGTGAGAGGACACATCCTTGAGGTGCACCAATACTGAGGGACCGAGTTTCAGAGGAGATCTCCCCCAGCCTCACTTGCTGCTTCCTATCTGTCAGGAAGCTGGTGATCCTCAGTGGTCTTCGAGAGGCCGGCCGCATCACAGATTAGTTCCTCGGTGCCATGTACACTTCTCACTTCCAGATAGCTGGTGACACGCGGAGATGGGAGAGTTTGGAGGAGAGAAGTTCAGGCACGATGGTGTTAAAAGCCGAACTAAGGTCCACAAACAGGACCCTGGCATAAGTTCCCGGGCGGTCGAGGTGTTGCAGGATGTAATGCAGCCCCATGTTCACTGCATCATCCACCAACCTGTTTGTCCAGTAGGCAAACTGCAGGGGGTCCAACTGGTGGCCTGTAATGTCCTTCAGATGGGCTAACACCAGTCTTTCAAAGGATTTCATGACCACAGACGTCAAGGCGACAGTCCTGTAATGGTGGGTTTCTTGGGGACCGGGATGATGGTGGAGCATTTGAAGCAGGCGGGAAGTTCGCACAGTTCCAGGGATCTATTGAAGATGCAGGTAAAAATGGGAGACAGCTGTTCAGCACAGGTCTTAGAGGCAGGAGGGTGAAACACCGTCTGGTCCGAGGGGTTTCCTGGGCTTCTGTTTCTGAAACAGTCGGCCCACATCCTGAGTGTGTATTCTGAGTTTCAGGGAGGAGGAAAGGGGGGTGAGAGGTGTGGTGGAGGTCAACGACCTCTCTATAAACACCTTTTATAGATTCATCATTTTATTAGCTACTTGAAAACAAATAGTAACAGATTTAGCTTTAGAAGTTTTAGAATAAACCCATGTTTATCATAGTTTGCTGCTTGTTCTAAATCATCGATTTATCAGAAATGTACATAAAACATTTTAATTTAACTTTTTTGGTAGTGTTCAGCTAAAAAGAAGATATCCTATATTTCAGTTCTTTTATGCTGTGTTTACAACAAATCGTTAGCTTCATAGCATAAGTGCCTAAGTCATTTTTTTGTGTTTTCGGAAAACAAGAAAAAACTAATTTTCTAAATTTTAGAAAATTAGTTTTTTCTTGTTTTCCGAAAACACAAAAAAATGACTTAGGCACTTATGCTATGAAGCTAACGAAATGGAAGTCATTTTTATATGTATTTTACACACAAGCAATATTTATGAGTGCATGAAGTAATGTGATCACGCAATATAATTTAAAAACTTTAATTTCTGAATTTAATTACTTTGATAATCTGAATCTGAAAGTACTTTTTTTACATGATGGCAATTAAACGATTTAAAGATGAAGTTAGATTCTCTTATTTCACTGGAACAACTTTAATTATTCAGTATTCACTCTTGCAAATTCTCTTCTTAATTTATGAACATGCATCATATTTTGCATTTTAGAAAAATGTGAGTTGATGTTTTGAGAATGATATTTTCCTTTTTATGAGCGTGTGTTTTAAATGTGCTATATAAATAAACTTGTATTGTATCTGTTAGATGATGCTCACTATAAAATCATTGGGTTTTTTTCCACAGAGCGAGTCTCCAGTATAAGTGTAACGTCCACCAGCACAGACTTGACTGAGTTTAATAGCTCTGTCAGCATGTCCTGCTCTGCCTCTGGATCCGCCCTCTCTTTCCTCTGGCTGAACGGCAGTTCTGTGGTTACAGAAAGTGACAGAGTTCATCTCACTGATGGAGGCTCCAGTCTGGTTATAAACGCGACCCGTTTTGATCAAGGATCATTCAGGTGTCGTGTGGCCAATCCTGTCAGTAATGGCACCAGTGAGCCAGTAAATCTGACCATCAGTTGTGAGTTATTCACCCAAATTCTCAGTGACTTATGTTAAAATGTATATATGCAGATATAGAGAGTTTAATTATTATCCCTGCTCAGGCGCATTAATTTTTCGCACTCTTTCTATATTTAGATGGCCCAGAAAATACAAATGTGTTTGCATCACCATCACAACAATACTACACAACAGGCTCAGACATCAACCTCACCTGCTCAGTTGAATCCAGACCTCCTGCCCAGTTTCAGTGGTTTGTGAATGGAGATCAGCTGCCTGATACTGGATCAGAGCTCAGACTGATGAATGTTCAGATGAGTCACAGTGGAAACTACAGCTGTGAGACTTTTAACAGCATAACTCTGATATCTCAAAAATCTCAACACTCAGTCGTCTCTGTAATGGGTAAGTTGGGATTCGGAGGTTTTCATCATATAACAGTGCAGTTTGTCAAAAAAGAAGTGTATAAATTTATGAATCCTGCTCCTGGCAAGATGCTGGACAGTGAAGCACTGAGAAGCTAAAGAGCCAGATGTTTTGTATTTACTTTATTTTACAGGCAAAGAGAAGAAATATCTGAAACCCTCATGAAGTGTGCCATTAGAGAAAAAAACATTTTTTAAATTATTTTTTTTAAGTCCCCTCAGACCTATCATCTGGATGTACTGCTGGTTGCATCGCTGGAATTGTAATGACATGTTTTGTCATCGTTGCTGCAGCTGCTGGTGGAGGATATTATATTTATAAGAAAAAGTAAGTGCAAATTTAATGATTAATAGCTGTTAACATGGCAAAGTTTTATAAATAAGAGTTCAGTAATCTTATTTAAACTACTTATTAAAACTAAAAATGGCAATTTGTTGATCATACTTAGAGTCAAAAAATAAAAACTTTGAATATAAAAAATAATGGTAATTTTACTATTGGTTTTATTTTTCTTTGAGTTACAGTTTGGCCAAGCATCATTTTAAAAATCATTTTTGTCAGATATTAAGAATTGAATAAAAAGTTTGTTTTTATCAGTATTAAAAAGAGAATTTTTATTATAAACATTATTTTGTTTTCTTTATTCATGAAACTGAAATATGGCAGATAGTTCATGGTACAGTTTTCTGTTTCATCAACAAGTGTGGCCACATTTTCACAATGTCTCATTTCAAATATTTAGAAACACAAAACCCAGTGAGACAAAAAATACAGGTATGTGATATTTTTGACTTAAACACAGTCTGTACTGTAATATAAACACATGTTTTAATAGTGAAATAAAAAAAGAAGATGATGGAAAATCATTGTGCCTAAACTTTTTTTTTTTCTAGAAATTGAAGAAAATGTGTATGAGAACATGTCAGAGACAAGCAAATAGGAATTTTGTCATCATATTTTTAGGTAAGTGTTTTGTAATTATCATTCATAAGTGAAAATGAATAATTTACAAATTTTAAAAGAACACATTTTTCCCCATTTAAACAGTTATTCCTGCTTTCATCCATCAATGACTGACCACTTATAGCATACCAATAATAAATTCAGCCACCATTGTCTTCAGTCATCACCCTAATGTTTATTTTTTCCATAAAACATTTCTGAACTCTTTATCTGCTGCAGGAATAGGAAAGTGATCATTTTTACTGGTTAGATAATCAAGACATACACTCAGAAAAATAAAGGTGCCAACTGGAACCAAAAGTGGTTCTTTAGACTGATGCCATAGAGGAACCTTTCAAAGAACCTTTCAAACAATGGTTCTTTGAAGAACCATTTCTTTCAGTGGTTCATTGAAGAACCTTTAAAGGTGCCCCCATCAAGAAATGGTTCTTTGGGGCACCTTTAAAAGTTTTTCAAAGAACCTTTTTAAAAAAGGTCCTTCAAAAGGTTCTTTAAAAAACCATTTTAAATCTTTCAAAATAAAATGCATCATAAATTGAATTTGAGTAGGGTAAAATAAATACGAGCACAGCATAGACATATATTAATGGTTTATTGTCATTTTGTAGTTACCAAAAGA